CCCATCCCCCTGCCCGCCCTGCCCTGGCCACTGGCCTCACCTCCTTGCCCAGGGGCATTCCGCTGCCCAGGGCACACGTCAGCCCGATCACCTTGGCCACAAAGGTCTTGAGGGTGAGGTACTCCTTCAGCACGACGCCCCGCAGGATGGTCTTCATCTCAGGGATCCCCGAGCCTGACAGTGGGGGGACAGTCTTGACCCATGGCCGTGGCAGGGGGACACGGGGGAGCCCCTGCCCCAGAGTTCTGGGGAGGGTCCCTGATGCTCTGCCATCCCTCACTGCCATAGGGAGACCCCAGAGACACCTCTCCCCACAGTGCAGGCTGCAGGAAGCGACCCATGGCCATGTAGAGACACCCCGACCCATAGCCCTGTGGGGACCCCAGTGCCACAGCCCACAGAGGACCCTCTGAAGACTAGCCCATGGCCTTAGGAAGACCCCCCAGCACCCTGAAGCCCGTAGGCCAGCAGGACATCCACCCCCCTAGGTCCCATGAGATCCTCTGAAGACCAGCCCATAGCTCTTGGAAGACCTCCAGGCCCCCCAACCCCATAGCCCATCCACCCCAGAGCCTCCAGGAGACACTGCCCATAGCCCTGGGAAGACCCCAAGTACCATGGCCCATGAGGACATCCACCCCATAGCCCCCAGGAGGACACCCATAAAGCCCCCAACTAACAACCCCAGGAAGGGGACACACTGTTAGGGGGCAGGTGGTCCCCCCCTGATGCCCTACCCACGGCCTGTGGGGCGAGGATCTGGGTGAAGCCAGCGGAGAAGGTGATGAGCACGGTGGGGTAGGTGACCCAGGCCAGGTACTGCAGCAGCACGTTGGTGTCCAGGCCCCCGTACATCCACTTCTGGGCTGTGGGCACGGTTGGTGAGGCAGGTCATGGGTGGCAAGGGGCATGGCATGGCCACCCCTTGCCCCCCCACCTCCCCAGGGAGCCCACCGGTGCCCCTCTCACCTTGAAGGCAGGTGGCGATGGCGAAGTCCATGGCCCAGCTCACCAGCGCCATGACCAGCCCCAGGAGGATGAGGAAGACCCAGTCCTCGCCCACCTTGGAGATGAAGAACCGCTGGCACTGCAGGGCGCAGACTGGGGTGGGGGGACAAGGGCAGGATCAGGGGATGGGGGGGACCAGGCTGGGGGGGCCACGAGTGCTCACAACCAGTAGCACCTGGTGGTGCCCAACCATCACATCGCTACCACCGGCAGGCAGGACCACCAGGCACACACCTCCCACCAGCACACCCCCCCCAGCACGGCCCCAGGCAGAGGGGCCCCTGGTCCCCACGGTGTCCCCGGCTATTTTGGGCCATTGTGTCCCTGTCACCCGGCGGGCAGGTGGCATTGTCCTCGGCGCCGGTGTCCCATAACAGCCCGAGAAACCCTACCCTCTGCCGCCGCCGTGCCCCACACCAGGGGCTATGCCCACTGCTGTGTGTCCCCTTGCCGTGTCCCCACCCCAGTGTCCCCATCCCTGGTGTCCCCATCCCCGGTGTTTCAACCCCCTCATGGTGTCCCCCCTCATCATGTCGCCATCCCCGGTGTGTCCCCCCCGGTGTGCCCATCCCTGTTGGCCCCTCACCGTGTCCCCACCCCCCCGGTGTCCCCGTTCCTGGTGTGTGCTGCTGCGTGTCCCCCCCCAGTGTGTGTCCCCCCGGTGTGTCCCCCCGGTGTCCCTTACCGCGGCAGGAGGCGCAGCGTCCCTGGGTGTACTCCAGCAGCTCAGAGGGGCGGCGCGGCCGGGGGGTGTCCCCCTCCCCGTGGCCCTGCTGTAGCCGCAGCCGGGCTGCCTCGTCCTTGGCAAAGGCGCCCAGGTCCTGCGTGTAGCGGCCATACATCTGGGGGGGGGGAAGAGGGAGGGGGCGTTAAGGAGGGGGGCAGGCAGCACCCCAGTACCTGCGCCCAAGGGGGAAACTGAGGCAGGGCGGGCTGGCGTGGCTGTCCAGCACGGGGGGGTGCCAGGGAGGGGGCAGATGGTGGTGGCCCCCAGGGGAAGGGGCAGTGGTGCCTGGGGGGGGTCCCAGCTGCCCGCCAGGGCGTGGGGCGGGCAACGAGGAGCCTGGGGATGGATGGTCACCATTTCACCCCACGCACCCAGTGCTGCCGGTACCAGTCCCCGGCCCTGCCCAGGTGCCCCAGGCCAGCAGAGGGTGGGGAGGGGCCAGCCTGGCCAGGAGACTCCCCGAGGGCTCGTATTGGGGTTGTGCTGGCACTCTGCAGCCGCCTCCCTTTGGCATCACTAGAAGCAGACTTGGGTTCCCCCCCCCGGGAACTAGGTGAGGCAGGCCACGCGTGACACGAGTTGGCCGGTCTCAGCTGGCAGCAGGGCAGTGGGGTGCAGGGTGTACCTCCATTCCTAGGGGAGAGGGGGACACAGCATGATGAGGATGGGATGTGGGGAAGAAGGGACTGCAAGGGGGCTCCGTGCCCACCTTGGGGGCACCCCCTCCTCCTCGGGTGCCTCCTGCCTGGCCACGGCACGTGGCTTGGCCTCGGCAGAGGGGACTGGGGGGGGCCCTGGCAGTGCCCCTGTGCCGGCCGGGAGCTCTTTGTGCCCGTCCTCCTGCCGAGCCGGGGGCATTTGTCCCGCGCCTGTGGGCACTGCCAAGGACTTGGTTGCCTGGTTTCGGCCTCGCTCTCCCCCCCCCCCGGCATGACCTGAATGCCAAGTGCCAGGGGCTGGCCGGGCACAAAGGGAAGCTTCAGGGCCAGCGGGGGCCCTTGCCAGGCTCCCACATCGGGGCGACGTGAGCCCCATGCTGCCGAGCCGGGGGCATTTGTCCCGCGCCTGTGGGCACTGCCAAGGACTTGGTTGCCTGGTTTCGGCCTCGCTCTCCCCCCCCCCCGGCATGACCTGAATGCCAAGTGCCAGGGGCTGGCCGGGCACAAAGGGAAGCTTCAGGGCCAGCGGGGGCCCTTGCCAGGCTCCCACATCGGGGCGACGTGAGCCCCATGCCGATGGTGCGCCCACCCGCCGTGCTGTGCCGTGCCGGCACCGCGCGTGGCTGCCCCCCTCCCCGGCACGGCCCGTGCCGGCGCCTGGCAGAGGGGGGACGCCACGGGTGGGCACCACGCTCGGCACGTGGGCAACCCAACCCCGGCTGCCGCCGGCCGTGCCCACCCTGGGCACCGGGGGTCCCACTCACACCCTTCCCTCCAGCCCCCGGGGGGACAGCATGAAGGTGCATTTCTCACGGGGGGGTATCACTCCTGCCCGGGTCCCCTTTGGCACCCAGCAGAAAGCAGCCAGAGCGGCGCCAGGTGGATTCTCCGCTGTCTAATACCCGGGTTGTGCTCAGCAGCGGGAGGGAGGGTAGGGAGAAGGCGGGGGGGACAGATTAATTTCTATTGCCGACCCCCCTCCTGGCATGGATTTCCTCCCAAAATCCTGCTCAGCACGAGCTCAGCAGCTCTTTGCCCTATGGAAATGTGCCGGGGGCGGGGGGAGCCAGGATCCGGGCGGAGATGCCGGCACGACCCCTTTGGGGGCTGGATCCAGAGGAGGGACCCCAGCCCCGCACGGGGCCCGGCCTTCAAAGGCTCCCTTCGGGCGAAGCTTGTTTCCTCTGGAAGGCGAAACGTGCCGCCCCCCCCGGGAGCGCTGTCCCCCCGCCAAGCCCCCACCTCCGGTCCCCCCGCCGCCCCACGGCCAGCCCTGGCCAGGACCGGGGCACCCCCAGACTGACTGCTCCCCGAATGGGCTCCGTGCCCATCTCCTGGGGCCATGCCAGAGGCTGGCACGCTGCCCCCGGGGGGGCAATGGGGCACCCAGAGGGATCCCCAGTCCCAGGGGGTCCAGCCTGGTTGGGGGGGGGCAGAGATTTTTCTCTCCCTCTGCCCCCTCTTTGCAACTGATCCCATTGCAATAACAGGGGTCCAAGCAAAGGGGATGTGCCACCCCCCCTGCCCCGTGACACTCCATTGTCCCCTGTGCCACCCTGCTGCCCCTGTGCCATCCTGATATCCCCCGTGCCACCCTGCCGTCCCATGCCACAGCCCCGCAGGCAGGGCACGGACCTTGGGGTTGCCCCAGCCACCATGCCCGTAGCCCTGGCATGGCCGCAGGGCTGTGGCGGAGGCCAGTGGTGGGCTCTCTCCTTCCTCCTCCTCCTCCTCCCGCCCGGGTTATTTTTCCACAAAGGCCTTTTGAAAGACAAACAGCCCCGGGACTCCGGCCTCCGCGGCGAAGCAGCTGAACAATCACAGTGCCGGGCGGGCAGGGAGCGGGCACGGGGAGGGGGGGCCCTGCCGGGGGGCACCCAGGGACACGGGCACGGGCCAAGGCCGCTGGGTTGGTCCTGGGCTCCGGTGCTGTGGGCACTGGCCGTGCCGTAGCCCCCCGGGGCCGTGCCAGCCCACGGTGTCCGCTGCACCCCGGGTGATGCTGTGCCCGGGGCGGCTGCTGGCATCTGGGATGCCATGTCCCCGTGCCACCCTGTCCCAAAGCGCCCAGCTTGCCTGACAGTGGTGCCCATCTCCCCTCACAAAACCGTGACCTTTTGGGGGGGGGATATTTAAAGGTGGGGGGGTCCAGGGGTCCCCCGTGCTGGCAGAGGCTGGGGGGCTGTCACGCTGCTCGTCTTAGCCGGGCTCTAATCGCCCTGAGCAGCTCGGCGGCGAACAAGGGCAGTTTGTCAAACTTAATCCTTCCCCCCGCTCCCTGAGGGGGCCCTTTGCTCCCCACCATGGCAGCCTGGCATGTGGGGGACACCGGGGCTGGCCCCCACCTCAGCATCTCTGGCACAGCCGGGGGGGCTCACGGGCACCCCCCTGGCACAGGGTGCACAAGGAGGACCGCCATGGCCTGGGGAGACCTTTAGGGCTGGGGCTGTGCCAGCCCCCCAAGTGACCCCATGGCCACAACACCCTCAGGGCTGGTGGGGGTAAGGACGTGGGGCGGGGATGGTGCTCTTTGGGCACGGCCATGGGCACAGCCACGAAGCGCTGTCTCCAGGGCTGTCCCCGGGGCAATCCCGCTTGGAGCAGCCCGTGCCAGGCTCCGGCTGGGTTCTGACCCTCCTGGCAGGTGCCAGCGGGAGCCGGTGGTGGCCCAGACGCACCGGGGAGGGCTGGGCACCCCCCCTGCCCGGCATGTGCCCAGGCGGCTCCCAAGAGCCAAGTGTGGGGCCGTGGGACAAGAGCCCGCACCCAGCCTCACCCACCAGCTCTGGGCGGTTTCGGGAGCCTTGCCACAGCCCGGAGGCCGTGGGGATGGGCTCCCTGGGGCGCCCGGGGCAGGGGTGCTACCCCACCCTGGAGGAGAGGAGGGCAAAGTCTGCTGGCGCCCTGCGAGGCTGCCCCGATGCCAGCCCAGCGTGACTGTCCCCTCCCACGCTGCCCGCAGGCCCCCCTGCCCTGTCCCGCGCCACCGCTCTGGCCTCAACGCCCACCCGTCGGGACACAGCGCCCAGGGGTGCCGGGAGGAGGGGGGGGGAGAGGCACCCCCACGGCTCGCCCCATGGCAGACGGTGCCAGGCACCCCTGCTCGTGCCCCTGGCTGCGCCCCGGCTCAGCCCTGCCGGGGAGGCTCCGTGGGGCCGATAAGATCGTGGAGACGCTGGCACAGCCAGGGCTCCCATGGCCGGCCGGTGCCCTGCAGCCACCCGACAGCCACTGGCGAGGGGTGGGCACCGAGAGGGACCCCCAGACAAGGGCTTTGGGTGCTTGGAAAGCCGATGCGGAGGGTGGCCGGTGCTGCAGTGCCCTGACACTGCCCCGTGCCCCTGTGCCGGGTGGGCAAGCCTCAGCCCCGCTGGCAGCAACCGGCTCCACAAACCCACAAACCCGGGCAGGGGCACCCTGCAGCGGCTCAGCCCCCCCTTCCCTGCCCACCTCCCCAGCCCTGCCTGCATGCTTTTCTCAGGGCAAAGTACCCGTGTGCCGAGCCACCCCGGGCACCGTCCCAACCAGAGGCACCTTTGCCCAGGATGTCTGCAGGCCACGGGTAGCGGAGGGGCTGCAGGCCATGGTGGGGAGGGAGGACACCCCCTGGGACAGCCAGGCCCCGGGTGCCAGAGGGGAGGCCTCAGAGGGCAGGGAGTCGTAAACTTGGGGCTAAGGTTGCAGGTGGGGAGATAGATAGGCTATCCTGGGGACAGAGGGCTGGGGACACGCAGCGCAGGGGGGTGAAGGGTGCCCAGGTGGTGCCTCTGGGATCCCCCACAGGGTGGGCATCACCCCCCCACCCCCCCCCCGTGATGAGGGGTTTGGGGTCAGGGGAAGGTGAGGTGTCTGCAAAAGTCCTGCTCTGGGGGTGGGGGGGCTCAGCTGGGCTCCTCCACCACCGAGGGGGCTGGGGGGTGGTGGCACCCCCCCCCCGGTGCCCTGCTCGGCCACAGCCCGGAGGAGTCACCCCAAACCGGGCACTGCCACCCGCAGTGGGGCAGCACCCCCAAACCGCCCGTGTCTCCCCCCGGCGCCCCGCCGCCCCCGGTGTCCCCCCGGTGCCCCCGGTGCACTCACCAGGGTCTGCTCATACTGCAGCTCCCGCTGCGCCTCGATCTCCGCGGCCATGGTGCCGCCGCTCCCGGTGCCGCTGCCGGTGCCGCTGCCGGTGCCCGCGGCGGCGGCTCCTCCCGGCCGTGCGGGGCGGACCCGGGGCACTGCCCGGGGGAGGGACCGGCCGCGCTCCGCCTCCGCCGGCAGCGCCCGGCACCGGCAGCCAGAGCCGGGCAGGGGGTGCCCGGTCCGGGGGAGGGGGTCCCTTCCGCCCAGCGCCGGGCGGGGGGCGCCCGGGGACGGGGGTTCCGTCCCGCACATGGGTCCCTTCCGCCCCGTGCCCGGCCCCGAGCCCCCAGGACGGTACCCGTGGGCAGCCGGTGGGTGCAGGTGGGGGGGTGGCTGGGGGTGCAGCTCCCTGTGGGACACCTCGCTCCCTCTTCCGACGGCTGGCATGGGGCTGGCACTGCTACCGCTCCCTGCAGCCTCCCCCCGGTGGGGCGCGGGCGGCAGGGGCAGGGGCAGGGGGGACCCCTCTGGGGGCACCGCGGGCAGCCACCCCCCCGGGCTCATGGCCGTGCCCGGCTGGGGGTCAGGTATGGGGGGGGAGAGTCCCCGAGGTCCTGGCACTGAGGGCACAGGGGGATGCCCACGGGTCATAGGGTGCCTGGGTATTGTGGGGGGGCTCCCCAGAGGTACCCCCAGATCTGGCGGGGAGCTCATCCTTACCGTGGTGCCGCTCAGCGTCCCGGGGCTGCCACCCCCGGGGAAGGACGGTGGGCTCTGCTCTTCGGTGACAAACCCGGTGGGCAGCGGCGGCTCAGCCCTCTCTGGAGGGGCACACGGGCAGAGTGCGGCACTGGCGACCCTCCGGCACGGCCCTCCGGCATGGCAGGCCCTCACCGGCTCGCTGCCGCCACAGCCTCAGGGGCAACCGGGGCCGGGCCGAGCTCGCCCTCCTCCCCGGGGCATCGCACGGCACCTTGGTGGCAAGAGCCGGGTGCGGGAGGAGACGGAGCCGTGGCACTGCCGGCTGGTGCCGTGGGACCAGGAATGGGCTAGCTGTCGCCAGCCGGGTGCCACCCTCTGGTTTGACGTTGGTACCCCCAAGGGTGGGTGACAATGGCCGGGCTTGGAAGGGGGGGGGGCTGGAACATGCCCCGTGCCAGCCTGGGAGGGTTCATTGCCGGACACCAACCGGTTTGCGTCGGGGAGGTGACAAAATGGGTTGCCCGCTCATTGGGTCCCCGGGCACGGAGCTGCCTCCTCGCTCGTCAGCTCCTGGCACTGGGACACTCATCCGGAGGGGCAGCCCCGTGCCAGGACACACGCTCTGCCCGCTGCCACCAGCGTGCCCGGCCACGGGCCACCAGTGCACTGCGAGGCCACCATGGGTGATGCCACGCTGCTGGCACAGGGACCCACATGGCCATGGGCAGGCACGGGGCAGGACCCCCAGCTTGGCACCCCGGGGGGGGACACAGGGCTCTGTGCCAGTCTGGTGTGCCCTAGTGCCACCCTCCTATTGCCCTACCACTAGCCCAGTCTAGCCCAGTGTCACCCAGTGCAGGTTAATGCTGTCCTACTCTGGCATGGTGGTTGTGCCAGGATGGCTCAGTGCCGTCCCAGTAGATCCCAGTTACTTTCCCTACACCTCTGGCACTGTTCCAGTACAGCCCAGTATAGCCCTGGTGCTGTCCCAGTGTATCCCAGCACAGGACGGTGATGTCCCCCAAGGTGTCCCAGCCCCACACATTGGGGGCCAAAGTGTGGGTGGCAGCACTAGGGCTCCCCTGGGCCCCATTAGTCCAGTAGAGCTGTACTGGGGTGACTGGGGCACGTGCCGTGGCCTGTCTGGGTATGGTGGCTGCGTGGCACAGCCAGCCCTGGGCTCTCGGCTCGCTGTGGGTGCCGCGGTCCGGCGCCTCTGTGGGTGGCAACTGGCTTGTGGCCACGGGCTGGGCTCTTTGTGCCACCTCGGAGGCGCAGGGGACAGAGCCCTGTTCTCCCCGTGCCACTGGGCACCAGCCACCAGGCAGGGCTGGCATTGTGGCTGTGGGCACAGGACCCTCTCCAGTGCCACCCTACACCCACCACCCCACAGCCTGGCACTGCCACCCAGGCCCCATAGCCCCCAAATATCCCCCTCCCCCAGCATATGCACCCCCCCCAAACCCAGGGTCTGCAGCTGCCACCGGATCCCTGCGGGGGACGCAGGGGCACAGCCCTGTGCCCGCTGGCACGAAGAGGCAGGGAGGCGGGAGGACAATATCTCTGTTTTTAATAAATACATCGTGACCCCCATCCATGGGCACCATAAATTAATTACGTGACGAGTCCGGCCGAGCCGGGGTGGGAACAGCGAGATGGGGGCCAGAGGGATTTTACACTATGTACAAGGTGGGCACGATGCCCACTGCGCCCGTGGGCCCGGGGGGCTCGGAGGGGGAGGGCAGTGGGTGCCCCAGTCTCCGCTAGCCAGGTGGAGCCCTCTGGCAGTCCTGGCACCACGGCCATGCCACTGGGCTCCTGGCCACGGCCACCCCGCCGTGTTCCTCTGTGCCCCCCGCCCTGCGTGGGGGGTGATGGGCAGCGGGGATTCTCCCGTGGCCACCCAGCCTCGCTGCTCGCTGGCCCCGCTCCGGGCAGCGGTCACTGCTCAGTGGCTCCACGCCTCTGCCCTGGCATCATGGACCTTCTCCCGCCCATCCAGGGGGGCATCTGGGGCTGGGGGGAGAAAAGGGGCTGAGAGGGGGGCACGAGGGGTGCCAGGAGGGCACTTGGATGGTCCCAAGCATGGCTTGGCCCCTGAGGGGTCTGGGGAGGTGCAGGGGGGTGTCACTCACAGCGGCACTTGGCACAGCAGGGGTTGTCCCTCCTGGTGGGGCTGGCGCAGGCGGCCGGTGGGCACTCCTGGCGCTGGCAGTGTGTCTCCCCCGACTGCGGGGAAGAGAAAGGGGGGCTATGGGGGGCTGGCAGCTCCTCGGGGTACGGTGGGACCCCGGAGAGCTGAGTTGTGCTCCCACCCATTTCAGAAGCCCTGGGGCACCTTCCCCTGGTGCCAGCCCAGGCCTGGCACACTCACCACACACCAGCAGAGGATACACTTCATTTCCCCGAAGGGGGGCACGTAGGGGTGCCAGCTCTCGTTGTTGAGGTACCAGCGGCGCCCGAAGCGGCAAGCCCGTGGCCCGTCCGCCTGCATGCCATCGGCCAGCTCGGGGACGCTCTTCTCGGGGGCTGCAAAAAAGGGCACTGGGGCACCCCACGGCACAGTGGGGTGCAGGGAGAGGGGAGGGAGGGCAGGATGGGTGGTGGGGTACCTGGGCACTGCTTGCAGCAGTCGGAGGGGCTGGCGCGCACGGGGTTGGCACAGGTGAGCCGCGGGCACTGCACCTTCTCGCAGTGCACTTCGCCAGTGGTGCCCTGCGGGGAGGGTGGGGAGTCACAAGGGGGGTCACGGGTCAGTGGGCACAAGGCACGCACCCCAACTCCCCCACCCAGGGGCTGAGGGCACTCACGGGTGCTGCCCCCAGGCGGGTTGGGGGGCTGAGGGGGGGGTCTGGGACCCAGTGCTCACCTTGCAGGTGCAAATGGCACATTTGATGAGGCCGAAGGGGGGCACGACGGGGTGCCAGCGGGTGCCAGAGCCTCGCCATGTCTTGTCCCCATCGAAGTAGCAGCCTAGAAGAGGAAGAGGAGGAGGAAGAGGAATAGGTGGGCACAGCCCTGGGGAGGAGGGGCAGGGGGCAGAGCTGCTCCCCCGGCCTGTGCCCACTGGGACTCACCCTCGCTACTGTCCCGTGCCCGCTCCAGCTTCATCTCCTCCTGCTCCGTCTTCTTCTCTGCAAGGAAGAGGAAGACCATGAGGGGGTGCAGAGGCCCTGAGGGGGGACCCCCCACACCTTGTTCCCCCAGGGAATGCTCCTTGCTCCCCCAGACCCCTGCCTGGGACCCCCTCCTGGCCCCCAGGTACCTTGGCAGACGGGGCAGCAGAGCTCCTCGGGGTGCACCTGGTGGGTACAGTTGAGGGGCTGGCACAGGATGGGGTCACAGATCACCGTGCGCTTCTGGGGGGGCAGGAATGGGGCTCGTTACAGGGGGCACAAATGATGGGTGCTTCCCCCCCCCCGAGCTTGTCCCACCCCGGCCCCATACCTGGCAGCTGCAGATGGAGCACTTCTTGTCATAGTCGGGTGCCCAGCGGGAGCCATGTGCCCGGTGCTGCCCCTCGAAGAAGCACGAGTTGGGGTCCTTCTTCAGCTGCTCCAGGTCCCTGGTCCTGGTACCCTCGGAGGGCTCAGCCTCCCCCAGGGTCTCCCCCGGCGCCAGGTGGGTCCCCCCAGCATGGCACCGGTTGGGGATGTGCACCTGGAAGTGGGGAGCAATGGGCAGGATGGTTGGCAATCCCGGGGGATCCCCGTTTCCAGTGCCCGTCCCCAGCTGCTCTCCATGGTCAGGGCTGGGGGACCACCATCGCCATCACCCTGGGCTGCTGGGACCATGCCGTGATGTCCCCTCCATCCTGTGGCAGTGCCACCCGGCTGGGCACCCCCCGGGCGGTGTTGGGGCTGGGTAGGGGTGCCCTGCCCCAGGTGGGGACCCACCTGTCCCCGCAGCTCCCCGTGGGGGTGGGCTTTGGTGCTGACTTGCAGGAAGGCAGTGCCCTGGGCCAGGTGCTGCAGGAGGTCGGCGTCCAGGTCCTTCACCACCCCCTGAGCCTGCCAGGGGCGAGAGGGGCACGGGGGAGTGAGGGCTGGGCTGTGTCCCCTGGCCATGGGGTGCCCCCCGCCGGGTGCCTGCCTCACCTCGGTGCTGTAGAAGCCCTTGAGCAGGCGCTTGTGCTGGTGGGGACGGGTGCCCAGCTCCCCCAGCTCGGCCACCCCGTGGAGGTGGGCGCTGACGGTGCCCTCGGCCGGGCGGCCCAGCCCGGCCACCGAGATCTCGTAGTGCAGGTGACAGTGCTCGTCCAGGGACAGCCAGGCGTGACCCCCCGCCCCGCTGGCCACCGGAGGGGACACCAGCTGCCCCGCCAGCGCCACTGGCATCTCTGGGCACAGAGAGGGGCGCTGTGGCGGGGGGGAAGAGGTGGGGAGGCTGCCCCACTGCCCCCCCGGTTAGCACCCCCCCGGGTACCTGTGAAGCGGGCCAGCAGCCCGCTGTAGGG